GCCAGAGTGACTTTTTGGTTTCTTTTCTTGTGGATCCCAGCTACTAGCTCCCCATCTGAAAGATTTTTTAGCATAGGGATAATATAGTCACCCAACTTCACAATTAGTAATGTTGCAGTATGTATTTGAATAATGATAATTAGTTAATTTGAAAGTTCAGATTTGATTATCATCATTTGTTTTGTTTGAGGTTTACTGTATCATTATTATTCACACCTTAAAGTTTGCTTTGACTGTTCAGCGTTGCCATTGCACACACTTTGTAACATATTATTTATCAAGTTTAATAGTCTCTTTAACACTTATGTTTATTTTAGGATGGATTAGATATTTTGTTTAAATTTTTTTGTTTTTGACTATTAAAAGTATTTGTCTTAGTAATGATGGTAAATTAAAATACAGTGGTCAAATTAAAAAAATCCTAATATTCCTAAATGTATAGGTAAAAAAATATTCACTAATTATTGATATCGAATGATATGAAACATGATATCATGATTTTTTTTTTTTGCTATATCGCCCAGCCCTAATAAAAGATCTGCAAAAGACAAATTTACAAAAAAACGAGTACATTCATTATGCCAAGAGGGGGCCTCCAATAGAATTAGGGTCATCTCACACCATGGGGGGTTGTCCCATAACCCAAATGAGGCGCACAAAGACTCCTTATAGCGTTAATCCACAAAAAGAGAAGAATACGAGTCTGAAATAAGTTTCAGATGTGAAAATCAGTAAAAAATTAAAGATAAACATTGCTGCTGAAACGTGCACTGGGAGAAAGCAAGCTGAACAACAACACTACAAGCTAAATGCTTAAAATATTTAATGATATCATTTTATATCATTTTTATAGTCTTTTATAATGACTTTATATCATACTATCATTGTCTTAGTAAGTCAAATGGTTTAGGGAAAGGACAAACTAAATTACACTGTAAAATGGCCTAAGAGGCTAATGATTCAGCATTGCCATCATATAGATAAATTACTATTAAAACTGTATTAAAACAGAAAACAACTTTAATACTTTTACGACTTTACTGTTTAACTTTTATTAAAATTAAATGCAGCTTCAGTGATCATAAAGAGAAAAATACGCTAGAGAAGTTCATCAGTTTAAACTCCTGAATGATAATGTTAGTGTAAGGGACGGAGGGATGAATTCACAAAATAATCAACCTGAAAGAAATTTTTACATTCCCTCAATTCTTCAGCCTAACCATGTGAGAGTCATTGGACCAGGAGAAACACAATCCTGCCCTGTGCGCGCATATATGTGTGTGTGTTACACTAATCTCCAGACTGCAATGGAAAACAGAGTAACTGACAGTACCCCAGGGGCCCAGAGTTGATGAAACTACATTCTAGCCTGTTGCACAATACAACCACTCCCCTTTTCTTTCCCCCTCAATCAGTTTCGCTCTTTCACATGGAAGTGTGCTCATTTCCCGGGGTAATGCTTTGTGAAACTGCTCTCTCTTTGTGCAAGTGTGTTTGAAAAAGTTACTTTGCAGGTTTTTTAGGACGAGTCCTGACAAAGCGACAAGGACTGCAAAATGTCACTAAACTACTGTTCAGTGGCAAAACGTTCCCTGAGAATTTTCTGAGATTCGAAACAATTTGGGTGTAAGTAAAGTATGATTTCTGGGAGCTCCCTGGGTGTGTTTCTGTAAACCATTATTCACAGTAGATTTGTGTAGTTATGACTGTCGTTATGCCTTAGATTAACAACACTAATGTGCTTTATTCACAGGGATAGACAGGCGGTTGTGCCCTGTGAATGTGCAATGAGTCATGTTAATCAGTGTCCTTAATAACACAGGACTTCATAACAGACCTCTATTGAAGGTTCAAAGTAGTCTTCAAAAGAGCATTTGTGATGTCCAGCCAAAAAGAGGCATCAAAACTTTTAGATATGTGAAAAATATAGTTAACATTATATCCTAACTTGTTATTTTTTTTGTTCGGTCACTTTCATTCGGTTGCACTGTGACAATAACAAATTCTATTATAAAAACTAATTCCTAAATAAAATAGCAATTAGGCAATTAAAGCTCTGATTTCATAGTATAATGTATAATATATATTTTTATACAACAGTTCTGTCTGGTTCCTGAATCTAATTGGCTGAAAACCGTGCAATATTCTGTAAATAACAGCACTCGTACCGCCTCTTCACCCATCGCCCTTGTGTATTAGTCCGCCCACATACAGCGACCAGCAGAGGACACTCTATAGTTTGTCAAATAATGCAGCAGTTAGACAACATAATGTACTTTTGAGGCTTTTTTAGTCAAGAATGGAGCTGTTTAGATTGCAACTATGCAGTTTATTTATAAGGATAGTGCCTATCTTAAAATATTTTTCATTTTGGAGCATCAGATTTAGTGCATCGGCCGCCATCAGCCTGTCTGAGCAGATCAAAGAAAGTGACGTTACGCCATAAGATGGTGGCAGAAACCACATAATAAGTCCTTAGGGGAGAAAAACAGCATTTTCTTAGTGCAAGTTTCAAACTACAGCTGAACAAATCATTATAAATCAGGTAAGTGACATTCTGAGTCAATTTCTCTTTTTTGTATTTTGTAGTGCTGTATTTATACCACAGAAACTGGTAGTGTTTGCTTTGCTCTGGCTTTTTTTGGGGTTAATTACTGTAAAATCCCGACAGAGAAATACTGGGAAATCTGTGTAGATTGATGGCATTTCGTGCAATTTATTGCAGTTCAACCTTATAATCTTAAAATGTGTGTAATAAGACCTGTTTTGTCATCACTTTAAATCACTTTAAAAAGTTATGTTATGTTCATTACAGTTCCATATTACTATGGCAAATAATTTGTTATTTTCAGTCTACAGAAGTCAAAAATCATAACAGAAATTAAATACTTTAGATCAAGGTTCCTGCAGGTTTCACTAAGTAATATTTAAGACTTTAAGACATTTAAGACCATTATGAATGAAATTTTATTTTTCTCTTGCCCTATAAATTTTTTTTTACAAATTAATACATTTAATAATACAATAATAATAATTTAGCTTGAATATTTTTATTCATTTTCAAATATTCACAAACACTTACCAAAAATAGAACAATACATAGCTGTCAACTCCTTTCGTCTACAATAATAAAAATTAAATAATAAAATAAAATATATAGGTCAGGTCAGTATCCTCAGCAGTCAATAAATGGAGAACCTTAAAGCAAATGTTACGGTAAGAAAGTAATTAAATGCAATTTTTAAATAATAAGTTAAACGTTTAACGATGGATTGTTGGTGATTGTATGGGTCTTAATGGCTAGATTGGGTAGCTATACATGAACAAAGAAAAATTAAGACGTATTAAAACAAGATTTAGGTAACATTTCAGTAGATTTAGGATTTTTTAAGGTCTAAAATTCAGCTTTTGAGGTTTAAGACATTTTAAGACCCCACAGATAGATGAGATGTGTAAGAGATCTTTATCTTTAGATGAGATAAGTCCTACACACAGGAGGGGTTTGAAGAACAAAAATGAACAAAAGTATTCTACAAAATATGACAATTTAGATGCAGTAATCATAGTATAAGGGGATTGAATTTAATTGAATGAATCCATTGAATTATTAGAACAAAATGCGCCACATCGGATTTGCAACATTTCCTAATTTTTAACCAGCTTGGCATCATTTAATCTTTATATACTATAATGCCACATTTTGTATGGTTATGCTAAAATTTAGTTTTTAAACTCTTATTTTGCTGTATAATAAAAGATATGTTAAGTGTGGTTTATATCTCTGAACACATTTTTCTGACATTGAATTCAAAACAACAGCTGCACAAGCAGAAAGTGGACATAATTCAAGACTACATTTTCATGCAGCCTTATTGCACATTCATAAAGGGATTTGGCAGTACTTAAACTATACTTTGTTATGACACTTAACTAATTAATAGTAAAACACAGCTCATAATTATAACAATAACTGTTTAACACTAATTAATAACAGCTCTCACTAACACTCATGTGTTCATACATTGATGCTGGTTATTATTGTACACACTATTCTCAAACTCTATAACATAACTAACTGTGCACAGTTAGGTTTACATGCTGATGTAACAGGTAAAGTTAAGTGGTAAAGTTCGCAGTCACAATATTGGCAAAATCTCATTATATAATTGCATTATGAAGGAACATGCTCTTGCACTGTGATGTGTAGAAAAACTGTTAAGACATCCTAACATGATGAAGAGCCTCTCAGGTGTGATTAAAACAAATCTATAACTGATAAAAAAAAATATTTTAACACTATGTATTTTAAATCCACAAACCTAACTATCTGTTGCTAATATCTGCATTTCAATTACTAATTATCCAGAATGCAATGGAAAACAGAGTAACTGACAGTACCTTTAGTTTTCTAAAGGTATCTTTACGTATCTTTAGTTTTACAACAGAACTGTACAATTGAATAATTAATACAGAATTAGCTTTATTGTGAAATATGATTCTGCAGATTTTCTATGAATAAATAAAAAGTATTGCAAAAAGAATATCTGTGTGACTGAATAGCACGTTTACTACATATAAACTCAAGCATGCATGATGCTCGTGCATGAGGTGTTTTCAACATCATCTCCACAGCTTCTCTAACAGTAACTTCCTCAGAAACTTATGTGAGAAAGATCTATTAAATCATAATCATGTCATATATCATATATTCCAATCTCATTTAACAGTAACAGTCTGTAAGGAACCAGAGTCCATTTCAACTGTTAACTTGTTTTTCTTGACTCAACATACAAGCACTACCCAGAACGGCTCATTTATATTCCATAATAAATAAAAATAACTCTCTAATAAGGTGCTTCAACTCATGACATAGTCATTAATGTTCAATAATACATCAATAAGGCAGGAACATAGCAGAGACAGAATCTATTGGTTCTGCAGAATAAATGCTAGATTGGCTTGCCACAGGTAGACTGATGCGCTGCTGATCTCCATCTTACCGGTGTCCTGTCTGAACTGATGCATGGACTGGAGATCAATGATGTAGGGCGACAGGCGGCTGTCAGCTTGGCCTAGGACGACGCTGCCGCCGCGGGGATCGCTTCTTATCACCTCCTCGATGTGGTGAGACACGGCCGGGCTGTAGGGCCGCCAGCGCCCGTGCTCGTTCAGCCATTCCCAGACCACCACGGCGGAAGCCAGCAACATCGTGTCCCTACAAGCGCATCAGAAAACTAGTTAGGCATCACTTCAATTCAACAACCGATTTTGTGAACGCAGGAGGACCGATTTTGCTCGTGTAATGTTTCGTGACGCCTGCCTGTGTAACATCGATCGATAGACACACACGAGGATGTGTATGGAGCGTGTATATTCTGATTCCTTGCATTTATAAGTAATAAATTGCAGGTTCACTCACATTTACGTAGGAATCGCTTACGCGAGAGACCGCAGAATCAGGAAAGAAATCTCCGTCTCCCCATGTCTGGACGTAAGAGATCCCGACAACTCCTCACGAGTGTCAACAAACAGTCAACAGACGAATATTCCTCTTCCTTATTCTACACATTCGGCTTTGGCTGTGTTAGCTCAGTTTGTGCTTCTTCTCCTTCTCAGTGGTTCCTTCAGGCACGAGGATTTCCGATTGTGATTTCTCGAAAATCATGTAGACTTCTCCGGTAATTCTTCTCTGGTGAACCGCTGGTGGTTTTGTGTGCGTCGCACTGACTTGAAAAAGTGACACCCAACACCACCTCCTCCTCCTCCTCCCCAGCATTAATGTGAGCGTGAGTAATGCCTTACGAAGGCTGAAAGGAATCATTTCTCAGAATCGATTCTTCTGAACAGTTGAACCCCTCAAGAGTGAATCCGAAATAGCTTAGGCAAACATAATGCAGGTGAATTGGTTTTATTTTTGTATAACACGTTTTTTTTATTATTATTATTTTCAGATGTGGAAATAAAACATTATTTAATTAATTAAGTGATTATTTGGGTGAGGAGATCTGTCCACGGGAGAAGCTCGGAGTAGCTGCTGCTCCTCCACATTGAGAGAAGTCAGCTGAGGTGGATCTGGCATCTGTTTCTGATGCCTCTAGGACGCCTACCTAGGAAGGTGTTCCAGACATGTCTCACCGGGAGCAGGCCTCTGGGAAGACCCTTGGCATGTCTTTCGGCTGGCTTGGGAACGCCCCTCTCCCCGGAGGAGCTGGAGGAAGTATCTGAGGAAAGCGCAGTCTGGAGTTCTCTTCTAAGACTGCTGCCCCCACGACCCGGCCCCTGATAAGAGGATGAAAATGACATGATGACACTACAAATAATATTAATAATTTATAATTAAGATGAATATGGGTATGTGAATGAGTATAGTGTCCATTGAATACATGCTTGTGTTTTGTAAACAGACCTACTAGGATTGGTTCATACTACTCTGATCACATTTGATCACAAACTAAGTATATAATTCAGAAACATCAACTGGCTTCATCTGAAACTGCATACTACTTAGATAAAAAAGAAAAAAAACAGTATTTGACAAAATAAGTATGACTTCACAGTATCATAATAGTTTTTATGTCAATTAAGTATATAGGCCTATTTGGATTTTTGTTATTCAAATATGCATATATGTGTGTGCATGTAGGCCTATGTCTGTATGTCATCACTATGATACATTCAAAAATATCTTTCTAAATAAATCATCTTTAATATGACTAGGCAATATTATACATCATACATAATATATGAGGATATAATGTTATTAAATTGTTTGTAATGGAGGAGTATCATTTTGCTGTAGCCTAGTGTTCGGAAATCAGAAAACAGCCCTTGGTTCAATAATTGGACGAGTCTGATTCAGAATTCATGAACAATTCCTTCAGACTGCGAGCTGTTCAAATGATTCATTTAAAAGATATGATTCAAAGGAATGAACAAATCAGACATCACTGATTTTTAATACACCCAGAATAAAACCTGTTTGGTTGGTCATGTTTTTTCATGTATATTGCAGACAAGCAATCAACAATATGATGGCTTGTGCTGCAAAAGAAAGAAGAAAGCAATACCTTAAGTAGATAATTTGGCTACACACTGACTGTGACTGCAAGAGAAGCTAGCCTTAACTTGATTGACTATATATAAAAAGTCAATGTTGTTCACAGTGGTTTCCTTCAGATATGTTGTAATCTGCTAAATTATTGTATTTTCCTTAATAGAATACAAAATATATGAGAAATAAGAACTCTATTTAAAATATATACATGTTACATAAAACCACAACTACAATAGATTACTGCATGTCATGTTAATGGCTCAGGCTAACAGTTAATTGGCCAAATATATTAATAAATTCTTTCATTCATTTTCTTAATCTGGGGTTGCCACAGAGGAATGAACCCCAAACTTATCCACCATATGTTTTACACAGTAGATACCCTTCCAGGTGCAACCCTTATTGGGAAACACCCATACAATCTCATTCACACACATACACTATGGACAATTTAGCTTACCCAATTCAGCTATACACCATGCTTGTAGACTGTGGGGGAAACCGGAGCATCTGGAGAAAAGTGCCAACACAGAGAACATGTAAACTCCACACAGAAACGCCAACTGACCCAGCCGAGGCTCGAACCAGCGACATTCTTGCTGTGAGGTGATAGCACTACCCACTGTGCCACCGTGCAGCCTATATTTTAATTTCTGGGGAAAAAACACAATCAAATTTCCATTAAAAAAATATGCACTGAAACATCCAAATGTTAACAATACAAATTATGTTATAATGTAATATAAATATTTAATACATAGAAACATGTCAAGGAAGTCAATGCCATTGATCTAGTTCAGGAGCTGTGTTCAATTGAATACATTAATTAGACTAACTATTTAAAGTCATACAAAAAAAAGGTCTAGATTGAATCCAACATTACAGATTAGGCTGTTGTTACTCTTAAATCAAGTCAGATTAAGTTTTATTGTTATCTCGCTGCATGTGTGAACATACAATGGGACGAAATGTTGTGTCACATATGACATATAAATAGGCATAAATATAACTATATTATGTACACAACACTGCACGAAAGACCTATCTTAAACCTACAGTATAGATATACCAGAGTGGTAACCTGACCATCTACTAATTCTGCATTTGCTATACATACTTAAACTGTAGACATAACTGAGGTCAGACGGAATCAGATGACATTTTTTGCTATTTCTGCAGAGAATTTTGTAAAAAATGAACAGATTTATGCTGAATTATTTTGGGATTATCACAACTAATAACTTAATATTTTAAATAAAAACAATACATTTTTAACTTGTATTTAATGTTTACAATGCAAATACAATTAGATCCACTTATTTGATAAACAAAACAAGTCTCTCATATAATATATCATCTAAAAGACAGAAAATATTACTTTACAACCTGTATTGTAAATAAATCATACAAACATTTTCATATTAGTCAATAATATTAACAATATTATAATATAATAACAATTTTAATAATTCCAATATTAAATACACAAGTAAATAAATGATGGGCTAAAAATCTGCAGATTTTTGCACGCACAGATTCCGTGTGGGCCTAGACATAACCTAAGACAGATTATACAAACTTTTTTTATAAGACATACCAATATCATGCAAGACATTGTGCAAAGGTGGTATTTAAGGTTTATAAAAAACGATTAGTGGAATGTGATTTGTGGTACATTCACAAGCGAACATTGTTTTCCTTATTGAGTCCTTGTAAGGTGGAGTTTAAATAAAGTGTCCAGTGCATACGGGGAGAGAGAGAGAGAGAGAGAGAGAGAGAGAGAGAGAGAGAGAGGAGAGAGAGAGACACACCTCTAACATTGCCTGCAGGGCTGAACTGGGTTTATACTCGCTAAACCTGGAAATTCAGAAACGAGCTGTTAAGTTCTGGCAGCACCTGCATCATTCTGACACCCAGTCTGTTCAATAAAAAGCCCTTCTGGCGAATGAAAAACCTACAGTGTCTCATCCTCTTAACACACTCATATCAGAACTACTGAAGAAAACTCAAACCGAACCCGTCCCCAAACAAAACCTTCACAAACAAATTGACAAAACATTAAAATAGAATTATGATGAAAAACTAAAAACAGAATTCAACCTCCAAACTAAACTTCAATGTTTTTCGGCCCTAAACAGAACCACACAGTTGGCAAATTATTTATCAATAAATTCTGCCCACAATACACCACGACTAGAGAAATATTTTGCCCTCAATTTGAAACATTGATCAATTCATTTTTTTTATTTAAATGACTCAGAAAAACTTTACCATGTACTCGGAGAGGAGTGAAAGAGAGAGAGAGAGAGAGAGAAAGAGAGAGAGACAGAGAGAGAGAGAGAGAGAGAGAGAGAGAGAGAGAGAGAGAGAGAGATTTGTCAGCCCCACTTACTTGTGTGAAGCATGCTCAGAAATGCATAATGTTTTGTTTATAGAGATATGGCATGTTTTATGAAAGTGCAAATGTGCATACCGGTGTCTGTTAAAGTGTCATAGAGGTAAAAGAGTGTGCTTTCTACATGTGGTTTTTAGGGATCTGATTGTGGATATATTATTTCAGAGAGGGGTTCGATGATCAGTTAAAGTCTGTTAAAGTGTCATAGAGGTAAAAGAGTGTGCTTTCTACATGTGGTTTTTAGGGATCTGATTGTGGATATATTATTTCAGAGAGGGGTTCGATGATCAGAGATGTTTGCTCTAACAGCTTGGAAAGTCTCTGTTGAGTAGTCTAGCACAGCATACTCCAAAACCTAACTAAAGTAATACACCGGAATTCTTTCAGGCTGTCTTCATGCTGTCCTCTAGAAGGTCTTGCGTTCAGCAGTACTGCAGTACAAACCAAAACAAACATTTAAATACAACAAAATAAACAATCCACAGTGCTATTCTTTTTTTATTGGAAATATATTTAAGGTATAGTTAACTAATTTTTTTTATTCTACCCCCTATACAGGGGTGGACTAGCTGGGACAAAAATACAGTCTAGGAAACACACTCACCCAGGACATCCTTTGATAAATGAACTATCACTCAGGAGCGTAGGTTTGCTCTTGACATTGGTTTTGACCTATGAAGCAGAGGAAGGCACCGCCAATCACAATGAAAACCACCAGTTGCTCAATGAAAAAAAGTGTTCTGCGCCCAACGTGGGGCTCGAACCCACGACCCTGAGATTAAGAGTCTCATGCTCTACCGACTGAGCTAGCCGGGCAACTACTCTTGACTTGAAGGCACGGCAGGTTGAAAGAAGTGACAGACAACACACGAGTTAACAATCATTATTTAAAAAAATTTTTCATCACTTAATCGCGATTTCTAAAGTACATACAACATAGCAGACGTTTTAAACAGACAAACCTGCTAATATAGCTCAGATACCGATGAGCTCTGCTTTTATTGTCCTCGCACACCACCTGCTGTTCACAGTGAGTATTACAATTCACGGACATTCTACATCAGAACCAGAAGACCGACAAATCGTAAGTGGGTCTTCATTTATCCTTCTTATTATTCATTCGTTTATCATATCTTATGATATATATGCATCAAAAACAGCATGATATAGAAACTGTCTATTTTCCATCCTGTATTTGACCAATTTTGAAACATTTTGACACGTGCTGAATTCAAGACTTTGCCATAATAACCAAGCATGCATTTTCTGTTTAAAAGACGTCTAAAAATAGACGTCAAGGCCAAATTAAGACGAAATTTGGGCTGTTAAAATTGTAAAAATCGAGTAGACGTTTAATATTGCATCAAAAACAGACTAGCTATAAAACAGACAGGAATGAGCGACTACACGTAAAATGCATTTGATGCCTAGTCGGTTTTTGGAGTATTTCAGACGTCTATTAGACATCTTTTATACAAATAATATTAATAATAATAATGCTTGGTGATAAGTACACATACTGCTAGAAATAGGTAACAGTTTAGCATAATAAAATAGGGTATTGTGGGTACTCCGTATGAACAGTCAGTTCCTATTATCAAATAATAATGCATGTCAACAGAAAAGCAGTAGACATGTGGTAAAAACATTGTTACTCACATTATTGTCAAATCCAAAATATAGATGCAGTGATTGCTCTTTATTTTCTCTCTTACAGAAGGAATGATATCACAACCCAGAAAGAAAATTCACAGTGGTTTCCTTCAAGATTCTCCTTTAATTATTTTAAGAGTAAAAGGGGATCTGTGGTAAACATAAGTTAATAAAACTTAAACGCTTTGGTCTACAACATAACTTGCACAATCTTTCACCTTAAATACTCAAATCAAGTTACATAATAGAAACACGTTTCATTAAATACAATGAATAGCTTTAAAATGCACTTTTTGATGGGTGTTTGTTGTCTAATTTAAATTGTAGAGCAAAACGCTGTTTTAGGATTTATGAGATTCTTTCACTTACAGTAAGCTTTTTAGCTCAATGACCTCTTAATATTAAAGAAAAGGAAACCCTTTCAACATGTTTCCATTCAT